TTGGTTGGATGGCTTTCTTGCGAGATGTCGACCCAAATAATCTGCTACAGGTTTATCAGCGCCTAAGCGATCTCTTGCAGTAAGCCGAAGCTTCTTTTTATGTCGATATAACACAACGCTAAGCAAGCTCAGACAAGCGACAAGTGCTCTACAGCATCCCACTAAAGGCATACTCATGCTTCCAACGATCATGTCCTATTCAAAGGTATTCGCAAAAGTGGCTGTTGGCTTAGACAAGCAACCAGATCTCATTCAGCACCTCGTCGAAGAGTCTATGAACGAAGAGGGTCAGCGAGAATCACTCCCCGAGAAAGCAGCCAATGTCGTTCGACAAGCATTCATCATCTGTTTGAATGACCGCAATACCATTCCTGGTGGTGTAAAAGATGGACGACCGGACGGCAAGAAGGTTGGGATCTACAAGATGGCAAATATATGTCTACGGATTCTCTTCCAGGCCGACAAGCCAGAGAGCTGTGAGACCATTTTCAAAAACATTATGAACTCATCGCCGCCACTCCAGGTCTACCCCGCAGCCGAACGTGTCACATTTTTATATTATCTTGGAAGATATCACTTTGCCAACACAGACTTCTTCTCAGCACAGCTGGCTCTACAAGAGGCTTGGGATTGCTGCTATGCCCACCCAGGATGCCACAAACAACGCCGCCTGATTTTAGTCTACCTCGTCGCTTCCAATTTAATCCTCGGGCGATTTCCTACTGAGCATGTGTATCAACTCCCAGAAGCAGAGGGTTTCCGTCACGCATTCACACCTATCACTCAAGCCATCCGCAAAGGCGACCTCGAAGCGTTCCGAAGAATCACCAACCTCGATCTCTCACACCCGAGTTCAAGTTTCCTGTTCCGCTTCCGAATATTCTACCAAATTGGCAACTATTGCGAAGTGTTGGTCTGGCGGTCCTTGGCTCGGAAAGTCTTCCTGTTGACTGGCCAGCTTGGTGCAGCTACGACGACTGTGGGGGGTAGGAAGGAGACCAAAGCTTCATCAATCGACCTAAATGCTCTCCTGCATGCATTCCTGTTCCTTGAGCGCCGTGCGAAGATCAAGAACCCAGCCATGTCTGCACAAGATCAAGGCCCCGGTCGTCGCAACTTTGGTCATCTCTTCTTCGATCATGAATCTACGACGAAGTCAGCATACATCGATCCAGACTTCGAAGGCGTCGAGGGGCTGGAGCCATACAACCACGAGATCGATCTATTGGAAGTTGAATGCATATGTGGAAGTCTAATTACCCAAGGCTTTCTGAACGGATATATTAGCCAAAAATCGAATAAAGTGGCTGTTTCGGGCATCAATAAGCCAGGAGGAGTCAGGAATGGATTTCCGCAGCCTTGGGAGGTTGTCAAGAGCAAGAATTCGAGCGACGTTTTGGGATGGAAGAAAGAGAGTGGGACCGTAGGTTCCGGACAAGTCGTTCATTTGAGCGGTGCGCGTCCTGCTGGATCTTGAGAGTGTGCGTACGATACCCTTTGCTTGTTTGGAAATCTTAAACGGAGAAATAACAAATCGTGCGAGCGACTTAAAGAACACCGGCTCACCAACGTGTCACAACACGAAAATAATCGACCTTGCCGTGCTCCTACTTCCTGTCTTCCTCTATTCCCGTTGATGACTTTATTGCATCTCGCGCTTGCCCGATACGATATCATCATTGACCTCTGGTCCGCATTACTAGCATCCATCTGACTAGCAGAAAAAGTTACGAACTGCCTGTGTGTTTTGGAGACGTCCTACCGATCCAATGTACGATAAATAATTTTAGCAATAGACATGTATACGGTACGAGAATGGCCATGAGTCTTCCCACACGTTTTAAAAAAGCTTCTTTCGACAAGGCATAGTCCTTGTGGCTGTGAAGCTATCCGCTACTCAAATTTCGACATTTCTTTTGTCCTATTATGTCAGTGAACAGGAATGACCATCAATCAAGATCGTCACATGTACTCTCCATTGCATTGGTCTGGTCGGCCCATAAGAATTTGATAGCACCAAAGTGTACTCCACTCTCTATGGCGTCGATGTGAACTGCTCGTTCTTGGCCTGTCCCCCTTAAATACAGAACCGGGGTCTAGGATCTGAGACGTTGTGAGATCTTGAAAGTCTATGGGTGAAGAGCGAGAGTGATTAGGAGAGTGACAATGAATGGTATCAAGTTTCTGATGCTGTACGAATGCTAACCATAAATCAGAACGGCGGTGGAGTTACTTACTCATGAAATTTGAGGTAACCAAATTAACTTGTGCAGCGAGCGCGGACAAATGTAAAGAACGGTAGGTGACCCTGTCCTCAGCCTAGTCCAACCATACCAATTCTCATTGGCTAGACTGTAAGCTTACCCACACAAAATACTTAGGTCATACGCCATACATCAACAACCATCACATTTGCTCGAGTCTCAATCAGACAGTCGATTAATGGGGCTCAGTCAGGCGATAGGATCAATCCGTGCGCTACATGAGGGGAGACTCCAGTGCACGCAGCGGTGGTATATAAGAACGCATAAACAAAACGACAAACAAAACGGCAAAGCAGGCTGACTATGTAGGCGGCTAAAATCTTCCAAATACTCTCATCAGATGATACTTAGCACCGCCTGCGATATACATGGTGTCTAAGGGCATGTGAGTCTGTAATGGCTATCAATCAGCGTACACATGCCGCAGCTTCCAATGCAAGGCTGAGATCAGCAAATAAAGTTCGCGAATATACCAGTCACATACTATATCAACTGACAGACAGTATGTGGATATGCTCAGCTAAGTAGTTGAGCATGTACACAGGACTGCAAGAGTACGCTTGTTTGAGCGGCAGCCTGTTGCCTGTGCTATTGGACTGTGTACAGTCGATGATACAAGCACGAGCTGTTAAAGGCCTCATGAAAAAGGAAAGCACGGATAAATCATATTATCGGTGTGGCTTGAGAGGTCGGGCATGACAGTGTGCGATTCGCATCTTTCGAAGCGATACATGAGCCAATGAGCTACTGTAGGACAGTGACCTGACCTTAGCCAGATTCAAACAGTATTTCCTCGTGATACTGTGTAACCAAGAGTCATTCAATTCGTGACTACACTATTACACCCTTTTTCCATTTAGCAGGTGATGCTGCGTTGTCTTTTCATAGCCTTGACGTTTGCTTTGTTAAACTTTTTTTCGGCTCGCGACCAATATTCAGCAGACTACAATTATCATATTGCTTCGACTCCTGTGAAGTCCCAGCCGCTTTTTGCCCCATTTTCGAGCAACCCTGGTCTGGGGTGCACTTTTTTCTACGCTACATGAGTACATTTGAGCCATGCATAGTTGGAGCCCTTACCTCTGGCTAATGATCGTGAAGATCTCGATGCTCTGCACCTTGAAATAAACAATCGAAGGAGAAGCCCAAGACAAGGAAGTAAGAATACAGCAAGAACACTGAGTAGGCCAAATAGTGCTTCTTTTGACCATGGAGAGTCTGTGACGGACGACGAAGCTTGATCGACTGTAGTAGCCACTGTAATAACGTCAGCTCTTCTTGCTCTACGTAGCTGCTCTTTATCTTTGGCAGTACCGTTGTCTCGGCGTATCCACATGTTGACCACAAGTATACTACTCGACCGTCTCCTCAACGTTACCGTGACGAAAGAGTTTTGTCCAGCGAAATCTGATCCTGCACGATGGCAGGTGCGAAGATCACCGAATGCTGACACGGTGGAAACGATTGCAGAGGCGGAGAAGTAGTTGCATATGTAGGGAAGGCAAGTACTCTAAGCTTCCAGCGTCCAATGAGAATGCGGCACGACCATTATATAGAAGCGAGCCAAGGGCCCGCTCCCATCTTTGGGCCCACCGCAGCTCTTGGGCGTAGGCTTCAAAAGAGTGAAGGCTCCTACTGTATGAAGCTAGAAGCATCTGCGATACGCAAACTGCAGGGGCAATGATAGGCTAGAATGTGAAAACGTCTCGATGAAGCAAGATCGACGCTACGCTGGAGCATCCTACTAGGTTAAAGCAGGATTTCCCTTCATTGGCCGGCCGATCAGACCTCTTTTAAGATGACTTTCGAGCGACCAATCGTTATGAACGTGGCTGAGCTGCGAGCTAGGCTGCCAATCACATTGGAAGGCGTCTGTATGTCACACCAACAGTGGCCAGCAGCAAAAGCCATGCCATTGACCAAGCTTGTAGTATGGCTGGGTCTAAGCCATCGAGGAGGAGAAGAAAGCACATGAGAACAGTTTGACAAGCTTAGTTCGAATTTCGATGTCGTACAACCAACCAGAACATATTAAGATGATAACACCTTGGGAAGACCGGTAGCAGCCTGCGCACAGATCAAGTTTTGGCGGCGCCTTCCCTTCAGCGTGAGGTGAGCATGCAGGGAAATACAATCACAAACACGATTTACATATACTCAAGCACACAATCAGTGACAACACTGAGTGCTGTGATGTTTAGTAGTGTAGAAGCTAGGATAGAAATTCGAAAATTTTGATGCTCTAGCCGTACCTTTGTCCTTCAACTGCGCTGATAGCAACAATCACCACACTGTATGGAACCTGGCATGTAAAGTGAGATGTAACATCAGTATCAGCAGATGGACTTCTGATTTTCGGTTAGGTATTAAGTTAAAGAAAACCGCTCGGCCTTCTTGCAGGTTATCTATATCATGACAGACGACACAACGTATGATGTGACGTATGATGGCCTAAAGCTGGTGCAATTAAGAACATCTGAACGCAACAACAACATAGATAGTTGCAAACATCGTGACAGATTGAAGCCGGCCTACGAGAGTTAAAATTGGTCCAGACTAAGAGAGGTTTCCTAGCCCAACCTGCCCCGCCCCACCCATTTTACCCGAGCGATCCACATGGCCGTCTAGTCCACACAAAACCCACACAGTTTTTGTAGCACTTGTTTTGTGCACGATGTAATTCTTACTATTTTCAGATTCCTCATCGATTGGTCAATAACCAGATCAACAACAACTGGCGCGGTGGCGGAGTGGTTATCGCGCAAGACTAGAAATCTTGTTCCTTCGGGAGCGCAGGGTGAGTTTCTTCGCAGCCGGATTTCCATCTATCATATTCTAACATGTAATTTAGTTCGAGTCCTGCCCGCGTCGTATTGGCATATTCTTTTTTGTCGTTTTGGTGACTGTGGTGGTTGGGGTGATTCCCAGGAGGTGGTGTGGGTGGGTGCGTCTCGTTTGTAGCAGACTTGTTCATCACCACCATTCTTTTTGCAAGCCATCACAGTCAGGGGATAAATCTGTCTCATACTGACGCTGTATATCGCAGTAGAATTCGAATTAATTAGTGATTATTCACTGAAGTTATTGAGTCTGGCGCTCGAGGGTGTACGCCATCAATACTGAAGCTTGGTACACGATATAAGAGACGCTGTGGTTGTTCTCGAAAGACAATAGCACTATTTTACTGCGGTTCGAGCTTCAATACAGAAATAAGGAATGTAGTGTCCATTATACATCATTCATAATTCAAGTTGCGCTTATGAAATGGTACAAATAACCTTCCCCTTCGTCTTATTCTCCTCCAATAACCGATGCGCATCTTGCACCTGCTCCCATGGCAGCACCTTGTCCACAAATAGCTTGAACCTGCCATCCTTGAACCGCGGAAGTGCGTGTTCTACCAATTGATCTCTCAGCTTGCCCTGGTACTCCTCATCTCGACTCCTCAAGCTGCTTCCAACAAAGGTACACCGCTTGCGAATGAAGGCGCTAATATCTGTTCCCTCTGGAAGCTTGGTGCCGCCCATGAATCCCAGATTAACAATGACACCGTCCTTTGCGATTGCATCGAGGTTCTGCTGGAAGTAAGATGCACCGATGAAGTCGACGATGATGTCGACGCCCTTGTTGTCTGTTGCCTTCATGACTTCCTTGACCCAGTCCTGGCTTGTTGTGTTGAACGCGCCATCCGCACCTAGTTCTTTGACTGCAAACTCGCACTTCTCGTCTTGACGGGCGGTTGCAAAGACAGCAGACGCTGAGTCGGCACGAGAGAGCTGAATTCCGGCAATAGACACGGAGGATGCGGCTGCATGCCAAAGAATCGACTTGCCAGCGGCAAACTGACCGACGAGGTACATAGCTTGAGTAGCTGTTATCCATGTCTGGTGTGTAGTGTCAATTTAAGAAGCCTGTGGGTCAAGCTGAATGGTAAACGCACCTCAGGAATACCAGCACATTGCTCCCACGTCAACTCTGTTGGCTTCCGGACCAGCATGTGTGTCGAGACAGCAATGTACTCGGCATAAGCACCCCCATATGCCAGGCCAAACACCTCGTCTCCCTCCTTGAAACCTTCCTTGCCACCACCCTCTTCACTCAACTCGGCGATCGTGCCAGAAAACTCGACCCCAAGGATCTTGGAGGCTCCCGGGGGCACAGGGTATTGTCCTTCTCGCTGAAGGAGGTCCATGCGGTTCAGACCGAATGCCTTGATTCTGACGAGCGCTTGCGACTTGCCTAGCTTGGGCTTGGGTACGTCGGCGATATGAAGGGCTCCAATGGGGCCTTTGCCATCTTTGATGTCTGTGAAGTGTCAGTTCGTTCACCGTATGATTGTTCTTTATCACGCACCTACAGCGCGCATCGTGTTGCTCATTTTGCGCTGTCAACGTCGCGATATACGTGGGAAAGAACGATTGAGCTCTGCCAGATGCGAGCTAGGTCTGGCAACTTTTAACAAGAGAAAGTGCAAAAGATGGTTTGTCAGGAACCAAATTCTCCCTCGGCATTGGCGGAAGTTTGATAAGTTATGACGTCTGGTTGGGTAGCTCCTAAAGCTCTGGTGGGGTAAAGCTGTTACCATGTCAGAAATGCCTACGAAACACGTCAGAAAGATGACACAACATTTAGACAAATTTCAGACTATGACATGCGTATTCTCAGCTACTTGACCACAGACGCGTGGCGCTATCGTATGCCTCTCTATACACAATCGACATTCATGCAAACAATGCACCATCCTGTCACAAACATCATAAACCAGGCAGTATCTAATTGACAAACAGGCTATCCTCGTTGATATCGTACTGCTTGATGAGCTGTGCGAGCTTATTTGCTTCTGATGCATAGTTGAGCGGATACAAGTTCATGACCTGGTACCGTGGCCTGTACCTATTAGCAAGACTCCGCATACGAAACAACGTAACTCACTTGGGCTGGTCCTGATATGTCTCCATTTTCGCTCGCACCCGAAAGTTGAAGGTCTTGCAGGTTGCCTCTTGCATCACAGTCATAAAATTCTGTGTGTTGTTCTCGTCGTCATCCGCCTTGATCTTCATGGCCTCATTTGCAGACATGCCAACAATTGTTTGGCCAGCTTCATCGAAACAACTGAGCCAGAGCGTGCCCGTGTGATCTGCAACGTTCACGCTCAACACGTAGCGCCAGTTAGGTTCTGGGAATGATTGTTGGCATTTCTCACACCACCACTGGCCTGGGTTTTCTTCGATGACTTTCTTGTTGCAGCCAGCCGTTGAGCACGCTGGGTAGGCAACTGTAGTGTTCTTGACATAAACCACGGATGCGCGTAGGCTCATGTAGGTTGGTGTATCCTGGAGGTAAGTCTCCTCTTCGAGGCATTGAGAGATGAGTTTTTGATCGTTTTTACCCCCACCACCAGAAGCACTTGCCATGTTTTGGTGTGTAGAGAAAGTGGCGTTCTGGCCTACTGCATTGAACCAGCCTCGCAATTTATGAGCTTCATCAATATCGGGGTCAATCATCATCGAGCCAGAGCTGAGTAGACTGAGACTTCGACCACCGAAGTCAGACACCTTGACACCCTTGAATGCAACAATGGATTCTAGCGGCGCGTCGAAGCTCTCTGCAGTCTTGCCCCAGATTGTGAGACGCACTGACGTCTGACTGTCGTCGGCCAGCGTCAGTTCCCGCTTGCTGAAGTCTTTGTTTGTGTTCTTTGATGTTATCGTAGTCACCTCTGCGACTTCCTTTAACACACCAACCGTGTCGATCGTAGTATCCTTCTCAACGGAGTTGAGATCGCCAATTTTGGTAAAGTTGAACCGAATTTGAGGCTTGTTTTCTTGATCTTCCGCCTTCTCAACCTCAGTATCTTTCTCGAATTGCAGCTCGTAGTCGTTGGGCAGATTCGAGAATTGCTTCTTTGCAAGTGTGACCCTGCAGGGTGCCGAGATATAGTAGACGATGCCTTCTTCGAAGATCGGGTAAAGTCTCTCAGCGGCATCGTTGAACGCAGTTGCTCGAATCTCGCCAGTATCGTCGAGCAAGTTCACGCTGAAAAGCTTGCCGGTGCCCTTCTGGTTGTGCCACTCCTTCATGTCTCCTTTGCTGGTACATCGAGCACGAATGGTCCACTTATGTGCATATGGGGAAAGAGACTCGATCGGGTACAAGTGTGGATGTGAGGACGTGGCAGGGTTGCTCTGATGGACGGGCAAGTTGCGCTGTGGCTGAGGTGCGGGCGCCGGCTTAGAGCCGTAGAAGTTGTTGCCAGAGATGGCGGCTGGTTGGGGGTCGGACTTGGTATCGAGAGCCTCTGGCTGCCCGATCTTCTCGAGTTCGCCGTACTGTGCGAGGACCTCGAGCTCCATGATAATGAGAATGCTACTAGAGATTAGGAATGTCAAAGTATCTGCGAGACATGACATACTTCTTGTCCTTGACTTGTTGAGGGTTATACTTCAAGAGCCTTACAATCGAGCCCTTCTTCAGCTGCCCGGAGGTTACGATCTCGTTCGCAGCTGCACGGGATTAGCTTGGCGTGTCACGAATTCACGTGTCACATACTGGTAGCGATCATGGTCTGGATAAAGTTGCGGACATCGCTGAGCACAACGCGGAAGCGCTGGATCGGGTTTGCATCGCCTGCTTTGGGCTCCATGGTCTTAATCTGCACACATTGCAGCACTGGATGCTCGACAAAGCAGCCACTTGGCTCGAATATGGTCCTGCTTGATGTAAGTCTCTGTTCATGCGCATAGTAGAGCTGAACCCACCTAATAGCACCCTGTGTGATCGCTTGTTCCGCCATGTTGGTCGTCTGCTGTTGTGATGTTGGTGGGATGTCGTGTTGAAGTGGCGGAGAGATGATTTCTGGACGCGTCGGGACGCGTTCAGCACGTGACCAAGGTTAATGGCAGGCGCAGCCCCGCACTTGGCCCAGTCAGGTGTGCTTCTGGCGGCATACGTAATTGGCTTGGACTTGGACCCTCGATGTTACAGGCAAGCTAGCCATTCACCATTGACCATTCACTCCACGCTCCAACCACAACACACAATACGGTCACCATGGCAGATAGTGAAAACGCAACTAGGGCGCCCGAGAGCGACGCGCAAGAGAAAGCTACCGAAACAGCGACTGAACAGAGCGTCTTTCCAGGAGATACTCCTGCGCAAGAAGGACCAAGCATGGGAGTAAGTCGCACAGGTTGCGCCTGAGCAGCACCGTAGATATGTGGTGTTCCTATATATTCATATCTTTTCTAGGATCACTGCACCACCGACCGTCCAGCACCTTCAGGCGAGAAACCTTCGGGAGAGCTCACTAAGCTTGGTGGCATCGACTGCTACATCACCAAACCCACCGACTACCCGCACGCACCCTCCAAATTATTGCTCCTTCTCACCGGTGGCACCGGCTATAAATCTATAAACAACCAGCTCCAGGCAGACAAATATGCCATGGAAGGCTATCTCGTCGTCATGCCTGACCAGTTCAACAATGACCCAGCGCCAAATAGTGTTGACATGGCCCAAGTTCAGCAAGATACATCCTGGTTGGACACTTTTAAATTGAGGACTGCAGAAGGAATTAAGAGCTTCATGATTGACATGTGGCTCGCGAGACATACTCCCGAGACAGTCTTGCCGTTATTGCACAAGGTGGTCGAGGGCGCAAAGGAAGAGTTCGCTGATGCTGTGGCCAACGGAGGCGGCATCTATGGTGTCGGATACTGCTTCGGCGCCAAGTATATCTTGATCCTCGCGGGCGAGAATGCGGATCCTTTGACGGCCAACGCACAACCGAAAGACGAGGAGCAGGGAGCAGCCAAGAAGGAGCCCGTACTAAAGGCTGGAGCAATCGCCCATGGTACAATGGTCACCCAGGA